GAGCACAGAGGCGGGCCTTGCAGAGCTGCTGGCTCCGTGGTGGCACCGAGGACACGCCCGCCTCCCCACAGCGGGGCTGGGCTGGGGCGCCCGGGGTACCTGTCTCTCAGCACGTGGTTCCGGATCTCCTCCACCAGCTGGAAGGCCCGGGACAGAGGGGAGCGGAACACGTCCACGGCCAGGAGGTCCTTGTGCCAGGGCGACACCGAGGACTTGACCAAGATCTGCTGGACGTACGCCACCGGGGCGCCCACGTACTGCGGAGAGACGGGCGCCAGAGGTCAGTGCGCCAGAGGCGCCGCCGGTCCACCTCGGGCTGAGCAGAAACAAAGGCGTCCAGGCCCGGCCGGCGTGGCTCAGTGGCTGAGCGTTGACCTATGAGCCAGGAGGTCAGGGTTCGATTCCCAGTCAGGACACATGCCAGGTTGCGGGCTCGTTCCCCAGTGGGGGGCGAGCAGGAGGCAGCGATCCACGACTCTCTCATCATGGATGTTTCTATCTCTCCCTCTCCCTTCCTCTCTGAACTGACAGAAACCTATAGTTTAAACGTGGGCGTCCGCGGGGGGACAGCATGTCTGACCCCACACGAGGCTCCGAGCGCCCGTTTCGCCGACAGAGAGAAGGTGGCTGCAGGGCTGGGGGGGAGGCGGCGCCCTGTTTAGGGACAGTTTCTGTTTTACGAGAGGAAGGGAGCCACGCGGGCGGCGGTGCTGGGCACACCGCAGCGAGAATGTGTTTAATGCCGCTGAACTGGACGCATAAAGATGGTTAAGACGCTACATTTATTGTTAACACATTTCGTACCGCATAGAAATCTCTAAGACATACGCCAGGGACCGCACGTTTTTGGGCAAACTGCACGTTATTTAAATCATCATAATGCACTTTAGGTGTTGTTTTTCAATAATTACAACATTTTTTATTTACAAAAACAATTAAACAATTAAAGTTCCTAGTACTTTTTTAACGTATGGTACTGCGTAAAACATTTTCCTCTATGAAGAGGGACCAAACAAAATTTACATAAGTATCTAGATTCGCTCCTTTTTCCATGGGCGTGAAAAACGAGAACACTCGTGAGCGGTCCTTAACAGATGGCGCGCGAACACGAGAACACTCCTGAGCGGTACGGAATGTGTTAAGATGCGTAATTTTAAAAATTGGAAGAAAAAATAACCTGTCTCCTCCGCCCCCTGGAGCCCCGACTCTGTGAAGTGGGCGCATGGGGAGCTGCCCAGGACGCAAGGCCAGGACGCGCGGGGCCTGCGCCAGCACCAGCACCGGGAG